CTATCGCTCCCACGTGTATGAAAGTTTTTCGCAAAAACTTTTTGCGCGAGAAGGAAATTGGGATAATCCCGCTAGGGGGTTATAGCGGTGCCAACGCGCAATCGCGTAAAGCGCTGCAATGGTTATTGCAGATGGAGCATGAGCTCGGACGCACGATAATTCACGTGGGGAGAGGTCCGGAACGGCGTTTATCGGAAGGCACGCTCGTCGACGGCTATTATGAGAATACGGAGAATCGCCGGCAGCGTCACATGCTGCAGTTTCACGGTTGTTTTTGGCTTGGATGTCCCGAGTGTTTTTGCGTGAACCGCGACAGACCGCTCTCAACCGTGTCGCGCGAGGATACGATCGAAACGCGTTACGAGCACACACTCGCGACGACGCGTCGTCTTAGAAAACGGGGCTACGTCGTTAAGGAAAAGTGGGAGTGTATCTTCGATCGGGAGCTGCGCGAAAATCGCGAGATACGCGAATTCGTTAAGAATCATCCCATGTTGATAAACAATCCCCTCGAACCTCGCGAGGCGTTCTACGGCGGGCGTACGGAAAATATCGTCACGCGGTACGAAGTGACGAATACGGAGAAGATACGCTACGCTACGTATGTTCTTTGTACCCGTATGTGCTGAAGACGGGTGCTTTTCCGCTCGGTCATCCGGACATTTACGTGGGTGAGGAGTGTTGCGCCTTGATCAGAGCAGGCCCCGATTTTAACTTTGACGCCGTAGAAGGTCTCGTACGTTGCAGAGTGCTCGCGCCGCGTGATCTCTTCCATCCGGTACTCCCTTATCGCGTAAACGGAAAATTGCTATTCGCGCTATGTCGCAGCTGCTGCGAGACATTTTCTCAGGCCGCGTGTACGCACGACGACCCTGCCGATCGTGAATTCGAAGGTTATCGCGTCACGAGCGTGAGCGAAATATGGAGGTACGAAGTCACGCGATACGATTCGGTTACGCGGCGAGGGGGATTGTTCACCGAGTATTATTAATAAGATTTATTGATCCCTCTCGGGTTACAATTTTCCTTACATTCTCCATCGTCTTTCTCCTCCTACCTTTCATTCGTATACCGCACCCTACTCTCCCCCTCCTCGATTTTATACACACACACGCACCTCCTCCAGCTCCTCTCTCCTTATTCTTACTTACTCTATCTTAATTTAACTTATTCTACTCTTACTCTATTTGCTTAATCTACACTTAATCTATTCTTAAACTATTCTTAAACTATCGTCGGGACTTCCGTTTCCTCATTCACTCTGTCCCTCCCCCCCTTCCATCCTCATTTTCTCCACTCTCTTCATCCATTCTTCTCCCTCTCCCTCTTCTCCCAAAACCCACTCTATTGCCTCCTCCCAACTTATCTCTTCCATTCCTTCCTCCCTCCCGCACCTCTTCCACATATGTTCCCATGTCTCTTCCTCTCCCTCACATATTCTACACATTCTTTTCTCCTCCTCTTCCCAGTACTGTCCCTCTTTCATCTCGTTTCCTAATCTAAATCTAATTACCTTTCTCCATCTTTCCTCCGCCCATCCCTTCTCCAAATACTTTGGAATTCCTTCCTTCATTAACCTAACATACCATTTATTATATCTCGACTCCTTTATCCTTTCCCCTCTCTCCTCTTTCTGTCTCTCCCTCTCCCTCTCCTCCATCTCCTCTAATTCCCTCTCTTCCTCTCCACCCACTCCAATTCCATTCTCCCTTCGGAATTCCTCCTTCTCTCTTCCCTAACCTTTCTTAATTCTTCCTTTCCCCCATCTTCCATTCATCTCTTCCCAGCATCTCCTCGCTATTTCCCCTCCTTTCCCCTCCCCTAGTCTTTTCTCAAATTTCCATGCCCTTTTTCCCGCTCTTGTCCTCATTTTTTCCCTCCCTAATTCCTGTCTCACCATGTACCCCGGCGTTCTCCAATC